GAAGCTACGAGAATACTTTTTGTGCGCAAAAGAAAAAACAATAACGACTTTATTCAACAATTCGTCTCCTCCGCATCACCCTGGTGCCATTTTAGAGAATATCCGCTGGATGTAAACAGCGTATGCTGTTCTGTGTCAGCTGCGTCACGCCGGATCTGTCTCCTACGTTGTTGTGATTTGATCTGAAAGAAAACAGCGTATCCGTGTGACGCAGCTGACACAGAACAGCATACGTTGTTTACAGGGTGATGCGGAGGAGACGAATTGTTGAATAAAGTCTTTTTTTTTTTTCCTTTTGCGCACAAAAAGTATTCTCGTAGCTTCGTATAATTGCGGATGAACCCCTGATGTCACATGGATTATTTTACAGATCTCCTTGCTACGTTTCTGGACTTGGGAACATTTCAGTTGCGTTGCTGTCTATGCAGGGTCAGACAGCTCTCAGATTCCATCAAAAATATATTAATTTGTGTTCCGAAGATGAATGGAGGTCTTACTAAAATCATATAATAATTGCTGTTAATAGTGTTCATCGTCTGTTTGATTATGTCTTTAATTGATTTTTCCGTACATTTCTGCCATATGTACATTAACTGACAGTCACCACTGATACCACTAAATATTGTAGAAACTTAATTTGCTGTTAAGTTGCTTTGCCACGATTTGTATTGTGAAAAGCGCTATACAAATAAAACTTGAATTGAATTACGGGTTTGAAGCGACATGAGGGTGAGTAATTAATGACAGAATTTTCCTTTTTGGGTGAACTATCCCTTTAAATCTGCATGGGGAAATCTTTCACCCTCAAGGTACGGTAAATATTTTTGTTTTATTTTTTTCTGGCAAAATTCATTACAATAGCAATCCATGCAACAGAAATCCTTTTGAGAGCAAAAGATTTCCCCTAGCAGATATCACAGTTGTTTTAACTAAAGGCTAGTTTAATTTTCCACTTTGACGGAAAGAAAGCTGCTTGGTTTGAAAATGACTTATACTATACTATAGACTATAGACAATGGACATTCTTGCGCAAAATTTCACAGAAATTTCATTAACGTGACCGCACCGGGGTTTTTTTGTTGTAAAATTCGAGATCACGTGGATTCTTAACTACAATTTAGCCTGCAAAAGTTTACTGCGCAACAGTAAATGTGACTAATTAAAGAGAAAGACTGTCAGATCTGGAACGACATGAGGGTGAGCAAATAACAAAAATGGGTGAACTATCCCTTTAAAAGGTCATTTACCTGAGACTCAAGATGGCGCCAGTCTGCGGTTGTTTCTGTGTTGTAAATGAACGACGGTAAATGTTAAGAAATATCTGACCTCTGAATGTCACGATTGACCAATCAGAATCAAGTATTCCAAGAGAGCTTTGACAGACTTCATAGGGTCACCCACAGAGCTCGTTTGATGACACTTTAAAGCGTGCAACATTGGAACAACCTTTGCAGCTTTGTTCCACAGTCTCTCCTTGTGTATCCGCGTGCTCTAGATGTGTTTATTGGCACTGACATATTTTCCCTGGTGCGGGTGGCATGTTGGTAACGCAGGGCAAGGCTGTTCCAGCGATTTGTCAGATGCTGTATCTCTCTCCGGCTGACACGAGCCTTTGAACCTGAACGCACTGCAGTTCAGAGAAAGAGAGAGTGTGCAAACCTACAGAAGTGTGCGCGCTTTCCTCTGTATTTCGCGCCATGTAAGGCTGCTGTGAGAAAGCTAGTGCTGTTTCTGAGGGGAAGGTTTACAGCCAGCGGTGCTGCTAATGTGGGCAGAGGTTGAGTATGCATTTGTGTGTGAGTAGGTGTAAGTTTCCTTGCTATGTTTTGTGAATGGTCAATGCGTTTCCTCCTTGTGTAATTCTAGTTCTGAGCAAACATGTAATTAACATGTTTTTTTTGTGCTTTAGTGGTACAAGAAGGTAAAGAAGGCCCCCAAACATGAATAGTGAAGCTGCTTTGTGTGTGTGTACTGGTTGTACAGGTTTGACTATACCTGAGGTAAGTGTCCTCTACTATTCAAAAATGTTTTTTAAAGGGGTCATATGATGCGATTTCAAGTTTTCCTTTCTCTTTGGAGTGTTACAAGCTGTTCGTGAATAGATAAGATCCAAAGGTGCGAAGACTAAAGTCTCAAACCCAAAGAGATATTCTTTATAAAAGTTAAGACTTGTCCACGACCTCCTAAAACGCCTCGTTTAAACACGCCCCCACATATCTACGTCAAGATGTGGGAAGATTTGCATAACGCCGCCCAAATGTATACGCAAAGAAAGAAGGCGTAACTTTTATTCTCGCTGTAGTTTTGTTGCCGCCGCCATGTCATGGAGACGCTGTGTGTTTCGTTGTGAAAGTGAAACTACTTTGTTTGGTCTTCCAAAAGAGGACACGACTAGAAATCAGTGATTAAGTTGTATTTACAACACTGTTCCAGAACAGTTCAACCCAAATATTCAGATGTGTGCAGCGCATTTTATGGAGGACTGTTTCCTGAACCTAGAAGAGTAGACTACAATGCCGTGCTTCTGACTCTCAGACTGTAAGTACGTTTTTTATAATTAAAGGATTTGCCACTTACGATTCAAACGCAGGTTTTGAGCAGTGTAGAGTAGGGCTTATTGTTTGTCATTTTTCCGATCACAAATGCAGACATGGTTTTATGTTTACGTGGCGCGATGCAATGCGTAAAAAGAGAGTATAAGTCATCATAATCCGTAATTATGTCCCCACTGGATGCAACAAATGCCTCGTTTATAATGGGTTTTAATGTTTTTTGTCTCGTTGCTCCGGCCGGGACAGGGCATCAGAGTATGGTGAGGGGCGTAACATTTCCGTCACATGTTTGAGGTATTTGGATAGCTGGCCAATCAGAGCACACCTTGCTTTTCAGACTGATGAAATTTGTAAAAATCAACGTGTTTCGGAAAGGCGGGACATAGAGGAGAAACAATAATGTACAATATGTGGAAAATAGGCCTACACAAAATAATGTTATTTTTAGCAACATCAGTGAGCCCAGGACCGGAGCCAGAGGGGGGGCCGAGGGGTCTTGGCCCCCCACGGACATCCCTGTTCCCCCCCTTCGGACCGAGGAGG